ATCACGGGGATCATGAATTCACTATCGTTTGAAAAAATAATCTCGCGTGTGTTTCTATTTTTGTTCAGTTCAAAATTCTTCCGGTGTGAATCATGGTACCTTTATCTATGCAGAGCCACCGTTTTATCGGTCGTCGCAACTTTAGTAGATAATCTATTGTTTTCAAAACCGACTGCTATGAATTGTGAGTGCATTGTACTATGTGAGAAGTATCCTGTCCTTCCGATAACCAAACAGATTATTATTAGCCCGGCCGCTGAGCTGTCTCGAAAGAAGTTAGCAAATCTGTCGCATATAGGAAATATTATTACGAAACCACCGTCCAACCTTTTGGTGAATTTGTAAATGGCATTCGAATTTGATAAAAGAAAATGTTGATTGCCCAAATCCCGGCGAAAGTGAGTTTGCGAGCAAAATTCTTGCCATGCGTAGTGTTCGGTAATCTCAGGTTGTTTTGCGTTATTACATTGTTCGACGGTTGCCGTTCGATAGACAAACTTATTCCTCTATACTTAGAGGAGAAACGGTGTATCAGTATTGCCAGCCGGCCGGCGGTGGCGTAGAATCCGCGAAGTTTACATGCGGCGAGGCGCACCGGCAGGCAGTCACAGCGGTTGGCACGTCAACCAATGCCACCGTTTGATAACTGCCCGACTATCGCTAACATAGTACGCTTAATATGCGTGACAATAAAGCAATCGTTGACAACACACAACACATTCAAAATTGATTTAACATGCAATTAACTTCCTACAATGATGATTGCTATCCTCTCTAAAATGATGTGATAATAATAGAGCTTTAAAGAGCTTATTTTGTCCAATTCGGAACGATTCTTGTTTGTTGACACCTACGGAGTGAGATTTCGACATTTGGTATTACGGGCGTGGATAATCTGTTTTGCGTGGATAAAGCGCGCTGCGGCAACATCGATGCGCAGTAGACCGGGCCCGAGTTTCGCAACCTAGATGCCGACACCTAGGCCTTGATGATTTATACTTACGATCACTGTCGTATATGACAGTGCTTTATTGCACAGAATTTCTCAATTATCTAATGTATAAGTACTTCTCAGCCCGTTTCTCCGTTGTCAGTCAAAACACTAAGTTCCGGCTTCTAATTGTAATAAAGGTGTTTTTATCTAATCTAATTATCGTAAAAACAAATTATAACTTCATCCGTCTCGTCCGAATTTGTTGCGAGAGAGCTATAATTATATATTCCATTACAAAAGAATTGTATTACTGCAATTAAATCTAAGTATTTTTTTAGGTACGCGAACAGACAACTCTCATTCGCAGATCGCGCAATTTTCGCTGGTGAAAGTATATTTTAAGTGGGTATACCAAAAAGAAAACGACCGGACGCTACAGTGAGAAAATTAAGCGAACGTATCTTAACTTGTACAGTGAATGTAATGCACGTTAGCACTTAAAACCGTGGCATTTTTTCAAAATAGAAATACTTCGTTGGTAAGTACAACATTCTAGGAAAGCAGGTTTTAAGTAGGTTATATGACGCCCATTAGGAGTGACAGAAACGAGTTTGAATAAAAGCCAATCGCTATTGTTGTTCCATAACGAGTTACATTAATTTCGGAAGCTAATCAGCCTAACGCATAAGAATTATTCGGTGTTACCATGTCAAAGTCATTCGATGACTTTCACCGTCGTCGGCGAGCGTGAGTTTCGCTGTCCAATAAAGTAATTGTGCAATAGCCGTCACTTTTTACATAACACCGCCAGATGAAGCCGCGTGAGCAAGAATCAAGGCGATACAGTAGCGGATAACGGAACACAAACGGATGTCGTTTTGCTCTGGTCTAAATTCTGAATACCTTCGTTTCTTTATTACATTCACACGCCCTAATGATGAGCAGTTAATTTTAAAGTCCTTGCACGACACGTTTACTTATTTACCCCTGTTACATATACAGTTTCTAACATACAAGTTTATCTAATTGGCGCAAATAACAATAAATATTTCATTATGAGTATAACCCAGATACATAATAAATTATTACAACCGAAATACTTTATTGGCAATAGTTAGCTGCTTACTTTACTTTCGGTTGGTACAAAAGATTTAGTTATGTCCAAGCAACAATTTCAAGACAATCATTAAGACAACTTTCATTGTCGTGACGCAGTCGCAACTCTACATCTAAAGTCACGTCCACATTCGCACAAAATCGCTTAAAAGTGAAAGTATTACGATATGATCGGCACAGCACAGCGCTAGCGCAGCGAACAAGCACTTTGCCTTACTATGTTCTATAGACATGCAACAAATTGTTCTTATGATGTTTTGATAGTTTGACATACTTTACGCTGGTGATTCTGACGACGTAATGAATGACGTTGCATACTGCTCACAAATACGTAAGCTAAGAATGTGTTTGCGCAAAAAGATAGATACTGAGAAAAACCTGAACAAATTTGGAAATTCCGAATGAATTTACTAATGCTTTCGGAGTACTGAATAAGGTTACTTCTTATGACTATGGTTTTTTTAAAAATCCTGCATAAAATCTAAAACTGCATTCGTGGATAGCCATAATAGGGATGAACGATGACTAACTTTTTATCTTCGCCTATCAGGTAGATTTTCAAAATTATAATATAGTATGGACAAGGACACGTTACTATTTTTGTTAATTCACATAATCGAAACATTACAGAGATAATTTGGAATAGTACATAATTCAGTTCATTTTTCGCAATGTTAATAAGAACTACCTGAATGTTTATTCATAAACCTTTCTCTAACTTGTATGTGGAATAAATAATAAAATAATAGTATGAACACTTTGTCGATGTAATATGAAACTAACCCTTTCGATTTTCTTCTGTAGTATTAAACGCTCTAGCGTTGTCCTTAAAACCTTTCACCTTAATTAGGTAGTTGCAGAAACTTTTCTCGGCCGTATCTATTATCATCTCATTTTTGAAGAAAAACTTGACTTGACTTCATTTATATTTACTCATTAATACAGTAGCAAGGTGTTTAAAAATTAATAAAAAAGAACTCTTTACTGCATTCTTTTTCATAACCTTCAAATTGTATGCGCAATATTTTTAGAACTCTGAAGAGAACTTGAACAATTTTCATCATTACCGTTAATACTTACTGCGTTAAATGTTACAAATTAAACGTTATACATAAGGTGATGATCACTACGATTTAACATCTTTGTAAAAACGCAAATCATCTTAGTTACTGTAATGAGGTTAACGGTTTCAAGAATATGATAATGGGTCATCTTAGTGCTTAACAAACCAGGTTAAATGTGTTTCTCATTATCTTTTGATTTTCTTTCAATGTTTATGTCTTAAATTGTACTTTTGTAGTTTTTATATCAACTCAAGCGTCTTTGTTCACGTGGACTAATCTGTATCATTGTTTGTGTAGGTAAATGATATTTACATATTTTTTACTTAAATTTATCAGTTTTATAATAATCAAAAGGGTCTTATCTTAATGTATGCATGACAATGATTCTTCAATCCTATCAATCATGTAAATGACTTAATTATATACCCCAAACGTTGTCTAGGTGTAAAGATGTATGAGTACTTTTAGTTTTTCTAATGCGTGATCATGTTTATGCAAAGTAGCATTAAGAAAAGACCTTCATTCTTCTGTGACCTTCGCTGACTGGTTTTAGCAATGCCAACGTGTACTTATCAATTAGATATAGATACATACATACAGAAATGCTGACCTTTCTGATGTAGGTGATATGCGGAAAGGCAATGTCGTATCGTACACGTGCAAATGCAATAAACATTACCGAGTTAACTATTAAAGGACCCATTGGACTTGTTCACCTCTAACTTCAGCCACTGCGTAACATGATTTGAATCATACTGCTTTTACGATTAGGTCCAAAGTACGTCATTGAAAGTAGCTCGTACACGACTCATAATGTTATCAATCAAAGTTGTCACCTTGCCTTGTGCGTTCACCGACATATAATATCCTGTATGATAGTTGCATTCGGCTACAATTTATGTATCTGCGTTGCTTGACGTACTTGGATTTCCCGTGTCCGTGTATCCTGGTACAAAAAAAATAAAATGCAATTATCAAAACGATGAAAAAAAATCTTGAACTTAACATTTTGAATTTCGAACAAGGGAATAAATACCCTTGCGTGCGTGTTACCATGGTAGGTGCTTAATGAAGCAAATTGCACAATGTCGTCATATGCCGGGCGGTGAGGGCGACGCGGTGCTCGGCGGCCGGGTGACACAGCCTCATCTCGGCCCAGTTGCAGTGGTGACGTCACACTGCTCGACTAAGGTCACCATATTGATCTCGTGCTCACACCCACTTACTGGTGCATGCGTGCAATGTTACCTCTTACGTATACAACACACTACAATGTACCAATTACAATGCTCTAATTCTTATCGGTAGTCTAGATTTTCGTCACGAATCGATTGTAGTAGCAACAATTAATATGATTGCCCTTCACTGCATATTTAAAATCTAATAAAGATGTTGTATCTGGTTCATTGAAATGTTGAAGAACTTGATTGATAACTTAATAGAGGATAGGAAACCATTGTAAAGGTACATAAGTTGATGTACATCAAATAAATATAGCACTGACTCTAAGGGTCAAATTTTAGGCTGGGATTATTTGAAATGTTTACTGAGTATTTTTAAATATGTCTATCTAAAATTAGCCGATGTGGCTCGGACTGCCAAAAATGTCTAAAGATGTGCCTATATTTATGGAAAGTTTCTCCCGATTTTTCTAAGATAGCATCATCAGGTTCTGACCTGGTGACCATGGGCCAACCTAGGAAGCATACGTTTAAAAAAATCAGAATCGGTGTAGGCGTGTTTAATTCTTCCTAAATCGAGACATATACATAAGTATAAAAACCGGTGAAATCTTTTTGAATTCTTTAAATATATCTCGACTCCTCCTCCTTTTTAAAGTCGATTAAAAGCGGATACACACTCAACCTCCTTTCTTTTATCCACAGGCGCCAATAGAACTGAAAAAGAAGCTAGATGAGATAAGACTGCTGGAGTCGCGCAAGTCTGCCAGGCTGGCTGATGTCGACACGGACTTCGCCCGGCTCGCTGACATGGCAGGCGACCGCCGCCGCGCCTCTGCCACAATAGAAGTGCCTGCACACCATATGCAAGGGTAAGTAGAGTCTTTAAGAACAATATAACTTACTTTCATTATAAAAACGCCTAGATAGAGCAATCCAAATAAACGAGGTAAAGAAAAACTACACTAAGTGTGCGTGACTCTAATGTCAGATTGTTTGAAAGCACAATGTATAGCGACGTGCTATGCGTAGTTACCATAAAGTAAACAGTTTTTTTTTGTGATGCTTCCATGTAGTTAAGCAAGTATCTAGGCGTTTACATAATCAAATACATATAACTTTATAAAAAATCGACCAACCAACTGGAAGCTGTGACAACGATTCTGTTAAAAAAGCTCTAGAATATACTTGTTTAATCAATGTAACAATTTAAATTACAACAGCAAGTTATCATTAACTCTTCATTTCTACTGTGTACTGTAAACATAGTCTATGAATGAGAATAGAATGACAAAATGCAGTAATGAGTTTACTGCATTTTGTCATTCTATTCTAATCCTAGTCCTAGGATAGAACAAAAAAACATGTGAAACTTCAGATAATATATTTTCAGTTACAAATCTAGTTTTGCAATCGAGCTTTTCAGTAAAATACTGACAAGACTAGTTAATAACATATACAATAATAGCTTAATATAGGTACGTGTAGCGATAAAAGAATATTTGACCAAAATGATCTGAGCTGCACTAACATTAACATGTTTTCGTACTACAGGATAATAAATTAACATATTATGGAAATTCACACAAACGGACCAGATATGTAAACCTTGAGCCATGACCTTAAAACGAAACGAGCTTACAAATAAAGTTCAAAACATTTAATCATTTAAACAAAACAAGTCTCACAATATTAAACTTCCGTAAAGCTACTTACATAAAAAAACCATGAGTCGATAACAAACAAGAAAAATATCAGAAAATAATTGAAAATGACAATCGTATAAAAAACAAAAAGCGTTTATGGCAACTTCGCCACATAACCACATTTCTGCTGTGAGAGTTCCAATAAAAGCGTCGAGCCATACTGCAAAGTTATGAAGGCCAACAGAATGTTTTGATACTTTCTATTTCTATATGATCGTTAAGTTTAACTATTATTGCTGTAAATAACTACGAATACAATGTAATTGGATACTTAGCGCCATAACTTTTGAAAATGTTAAGCCATATTTATTGTCGCCTTCCGTTACATCACACACAGTTTCAGAGAAATTAAAGCCACCAGAACCTTGCCAAAATTATGAGCAAAGCTATATCTAAACAACTTTCCTTAGAAGGCATTCCCGAATCTACTTTGGAGGACATTCGATCTGATGAGGGCATTACAGTCACGACATGCTTTTAGCAACGGATATTATAATTAACGAATAACGGCTTCTTGCCTCGAGGCAACAATTTAACCTACCTGGTAGAGGCCCCGGGTTTCTTAACAGTTCACGCGATAGATTTAGGTGGTACTGAAAATTTTAAATATAATCTGTTTTGCAAAGTACTCTGAGATTATACACTTTCATGATATGACTTTTGGTTCATGAACCATAAATAACATTCAATAATCCCTTTCACCTTCTATACTGATAGAAGATTAAACATAATTATTGAATTATTAGTGAAAATTCAATAATTTCCTTCCTGCCCTTGAGTACGAAATGCAAAAAGAAACCTCACCAAAAGGTCACCGCAGTACGAACTGAAACGCCACGCTATACCGGAAAATCTCATTAGGACTGAGACAGAAAAACAAGGATTTTGAATTAGTAAATCGGTTTCAATAACGTTTCATTGACATTGAACTGGCTACGATTCATGACAAAAGCAGTAATTTTTACATTATAGACATAATTTAAAAGATCAAGAAATCGTTGTGTTATCGAAGAAAGAAGTTTATTATATAATATATGATCCAATTGATATCTTTATTATGCGTATAAATTCAAAACTCAATATTCGGGCACTCTTACGACCGCAAGATCTGGAGAGTGGCATGTTGTATGCGTGGCGTGTATTGTAGTGGGTTACCTTGCAGGTAGGTGTAATCGCTCGGTCGTGCATCGGAGCAGGCCGGGCGCGTTGCGAAATGCGCGCGCGTTAGAAACTGGATGGAAGTTAGCGCGGAGTACGGGTGTGTCCTTGTCACACTTGCCTACATTCTGTTGCCGCCCGCGTCCCGCACACCCGCGCGCTGCCACCGCAGGGATAGACAATGCGACTTTGTGAGAACGATTAAAAAAACAGTAAATTACATAAACCATTGTAATCGCAAATCGAAAGATAACTAAACCGCCGTAAAAGGCACCGCAACGGTTATGAATTTTACAATTGTAGACGCAAAATAAAAGGCTGCCTTTCTAAGATTCCACTGTCGGTGTAAGAACTCAAAGTTATAATGTATTGCAATAGAACCGGAACAAACGGTATCAAATGGCTGCGACGACGTGACGCTCGACGCGCAGTTTCACTTTTCATCATGATCGCAGAGAGAGGCGAGACCTCAGAGCGGTCCAAATTTCACAACACTGCCCGAAACCGACTCTCGAGGGTAATCTGTAGCCGGGTCGCTAGTTATTACAAACAGACCTGCAATAATATTATTTTACCGTAGTTTCTGACACTTGTACGAATGAAATTTAACAACTACTTCAATTTAACGGACTTGACATTGCTCCCAATTGGTGCAAATGTCGTGTAGCCTTCGAGTATAATGTTTCTTAAGAAAGCTAGCCTTCAATTAAAAGATACGGGAAAATGTAAAAGAGGACTTGAGTGGTTGATATTTAAAAAAGGCTTGCTCACAGAAAACTTGTTTCGACTAAAGCTCAAGGCATTTGAAACATGATCTGATCCAGCGTTGTCGGCTGATTTGGAACAAACCCAACGGACAGATTTTGATTGATGGAATATCTCGAGTCATCTATTTGAATGGTTGCACATTCTCATTTACTGTACTAATAGTGAGATAAGATTGAAATTGTGCTCGTGATTGCAACAAACTTTTCGCAACCGCCGCGGGTCAAATACCACCGAGAGAAGTGAAAGTTTGCCAACATTCATTTTCTTTTAATTTGATCGTCTGTCTCATCGAATTTGCAGTATTTATCATTTTATAAATCTGCTTGAGCAAAAGATATGGTTCTAAATAACACAGCGAAGATTATTTCCACATGATCACCGTGATTCATAAATGTTATTAGTTATAGAAAAGTGAGTAGATAGAGTTTAAAATGCCTTACTTTACCAGTGATACTTGACGCAGGCACCACCTGACACAGTGACCTAGTTTCAAAACGGAATGCCGCACACACTAGCTAAAGTGATATCGAACAATGTGCCGACGCGACGCTACGAAGCGAGACCAAAATAATCAATGTAATGAAATCACACACTTGCTAATGATTTAGACTTTCATTTCTATGGACTCTCGTCAATGACGTATCTTTAGAATTCACTTCCAATGGCAATACGTATTTGGATGTGTTTAATCAGATTCCGTGTGTCTGTCCGTGTGTACGAGTCGAACATCCTCATTCGGGCAGTAGGGCGACGGTGGCAGTTCAGTCCGCATTCTGATCTCGATGTCACAATTAGAAAAGATTTAATCGCTTTGTCACCACTACGTTGTAGCCTTGGCTTGTAGATGAATAATGTCATCATTCCATATAACTTATTTATCAAACTTTGAATGCATAATAATAGCCAACAATAATAATAATATTCGATTAAATTGAGTAGGTAATGCCATAAATCTTAACTGAAGATAAATGTTCATCAATCATGAGTTTTCTTAAAAAAATCGCTTTGATGAGAAACCCACTCAGATGTTTCGTAAAGTACCTAATGCGTGAGTGTGAATTTATTGAGTTGTATTTGAAAACTTACTACGATATCTTAGTTCAGTTCTCAGTGGAAGTTGTGCCGTTGGTTCACATTCCGCGAGGGTTTGCGTAACATGCAAAGCGAAGGCGCGCGGCGATGGTGGAGCGGCACTTTCTCGTCGAATACGTTTGCTTTCGTTTGTGGCGTTCCGTTATCTCATTTGGCAGGTGCTGGTGTGCCGCGTTCGTTTAGAGAAAGTGTTACAACAAATAATTGAAGCTAACATTATGCAAACGGTACCTTCTTTGTAACACCTCCATTTAACGTTTTGACTTATCCACTGTCCAAATAATGAAACTGTACTTATGCCAAAAAATCACAAAGAAAAAGGTGCATTGCCATTATTGACATGAAGATGCCGGCAATACGAAAGATTACTCACCCAAATTGTTCACCTCTGATTTGACTTTCCTTCAACCGACCCTACAGGTTATTCCACCGTACGGGGAACAAAAACCGTTCTTGGAAACTTATAAGAATTGTGTCTGCTAATAGCCGGTTGATTGTAGCCCACGTTGGAATAAGCGATACACTGTGACAAGTACTAATGTTGCCACGCCACGGCAGCCGAAGGTCACCTACGCTTTGACCGGACACTGTAACGCGGCACTTATTATTGTTTTTCATACAAATGTTCAAGTTCAATGTTTCATGAATTGACACGCCACGCTACGTATCAACTAGGCGTACGGTTTGCCGGTATCAAATTCAACGCGAACAACAATGAATAATTTATATTAATCTTATCAGGTTTCTTTTCGAGGGCGATGATCCTGTGATCGGTTGAATTGCATAATGCGAGTGTTAATTGGCATTGTTCGCGTACTAAAAGGATGATACAATGTAAGATTGACTATCGCGGCCGTTTCAGAATAGCAGGCCAAGTCCAGCGATGACCTCACTGCGGGTGGAGGCTCGCGGGCGGGAGAGGTTCCGCATTAGCTCAATAGCTCCGGACCTGGTTTTTGTCGTACGAAAAAAGTGTGCCCGACCTACATCAACGCTCAGTAAAAAGCATTGAGCTCTCGGACTCTACTGAAATACAGACTTTAACATAATTAAAACGTAATTCCAGTTTCGGCTTTATTTATCTCTGTTGCCTATTCTAATATTGGTTCTTTTGTTATAATCCGGAGAGAATTCCATTATATTGGACA